GCAGCCGGTGGGGCCCAGGCCCACAGCTTTGGTAAAGCCCGGGAGGATAAAGCAGCTCTGACACAGATGTGCTTAAAACCCCGGGTGTCGGGGTTGCTGTCTCTCAGGGAGCCCCGACCTCAGCCTGCTCCTCCTGCTTCCCGGCCTGGCACCTTGGAGACAGCTGAGGGTGCGAAATCGGGGGTGAAGTGTGTACTTGGGTAGCTGAGGTAAAGCCCGGCCGTGTCACAGGCGGTGAGGTCTGTAGCAGCTGCCTGCTCTGGGGTCCCGGACGGGTGGAAGGAGTCTGGCTTTGGCTCGGTGCCTCTAGTCTCTGAAAAGCCGAGGCGCTGAAGCCTGGCCGCTCGTTTCGGGTGCTCCATTCGCAGCATCTTGGGTGCAAAGCCCTGAGCAGCTGCAGCAGCTGCCGCCTTCAGATGGAGTTTGACGGTTTGGCCCTGCTCGGCTTGTCTCTGCCAAGTTTAGCAGCTGGGAGGTCTCCTGAAGATGTTGCCGAGGTGATGGAGAAATAGGTGGCAGGAGATGGAGCGTGGGGTTGGGGGGGGGATGTTTGCTAAGGATATTAAGATGTAATATCCTAAGTAATTCTAACAGGTGAGCCAAAAAATGCTAAGAGACCTATGAGATGACGGCGATGGTTTGGGACCCACCGGTGGGTTGAAGGGGCAGCTAAAATTTAACCCAGGTACACTTGCATTCATGTATGTCAGCAAAATTAAGTTAAACTCCTTGTTTGCTGCTGGGTTGTGGGGAAGCCTTTCATGAGAGAGGTTTGAAAGCTCAGTGCAGATATCTGTCCGGTATGTTCTGTATCTGTTTGACGGACAAAATGTCTACCAAAAATGCTTGATACACAGATAAAAGGGTGGAAAGTGTTGAGATATCGATGGTATTGCATCAGTTGGATGTATTTTCAGTTGGAGTAGGCTGTTTGCTTTTGTTGCTCGATTTAAGGAGGAGGCAGCAGTGAAGAGGATGACTTAGAAAAGGGTGATCGATATGAGGATCGAGGGACTTTGTTGCAATGAAATCTACGAATTTACCTATTCAAAAAAGGCAGTAGATGAATGTGACTTGAATTCTCATCAGTTGCTGTGTTTTATCTTGTGCTACAAGTAGAATGAAAAGCATCACTTTCTTTAAAGGAAAGTTACCAAGTTAAATACAATATGTTGTAAATCTGTATGCATATATTAGTAGTAGTCTGATAATTACTCTCTAGTAATCACAGAATTGTAGAAAATGGGGGTTGGAAGGGACCTCAGGAGGTCTAGTCCAGCCCCCTGCTCAAAACAGCACCTTCCCCCAACTAGATCATCCTAGCCAGGGCTTTGTTGAGCCGGGTCTTAAAAACATCCAAGGATGGAGATTCCACCAGCTCTCTGGGTAACCTGTTCTAGTGATTCACCACCTTCCTAGTGAGAGAGTTTTTCCTAATATCCAACTTAAACCTCCCTTGCTGCAGCTTGGGACCATTGATACTTGTTCTGTCATTGGTCACTACTGAGAACAGTCCAGCCCCATCCTCTTTGTAACCACCCTTCTGATAGTTAAAGGCTGCTATCAAATCCCTTCTCAATCTTCTCTTGGGATTGCATGGGATTCTTCTGTCCTAAGTGCACGACTTTGCACTTACCCTTCTTGAACCTCTTGAGATTCCTTTTGGCCCAGTCCTCCAATTTGTGGCGGTCACTCTGACTCCTAGCCCTACCCTCCAGTGTATCAACTACTTTTTCCCTCCCCTTCCCCCCCATATTGGTGCTATCCATGAACTTGCTGAGGGTGCACTCCATCCCATCTTACAGATTGTTAATGAAGATGTTGAACAAAACTGGCCCAAGGAGCAACCCCTTGGGCACTCCACTTGATACTGGCTGCTGGTTAGACACTGAGCCGTTGATTACTACCTGTAAGTTTAGGTTTAGGTTAGAGTTCAGAAGGCAATATTTTACAGTTAGGGTGGCCAAAATCTGGATCCAACTTCCCAGGGAAGTGATCCTCACCCCTATCTTGGGCAAATTCAAGAGGAGGTTGGATAATCACCTATTTGGGGTCTTCTGAACCCAGCATTCATTCCTGCCTGTGGCAGGGGGTCAGGCTAGATAATCTGTTCAGGTCCCTCCTGACCCTAGCTGCTATGAAACTACTACTATGAAACTATGTTGAGTCTGACAATCCAGCCAGCTTTCTGTCCACTTGCAGTCCATTCATACAACCCATTCTTCCTCAGCTTGTTTGCAAGAATGCTGTGGGAGATGGTATCAAAAGCCTTGCTAAAGTCAAGGTATATTACATTCACTGCTTTCCCTGTCTGTTTTTGTGTGTTCATCCACCTAATGTATATGTGGATGCATGCATCATATTGCTTAGCAATATGTGATTGGAAAAATTACCTTTCTTGTTGCAGCACATTCAGTAGGATGCAAGTCTGGGTTGAATAAATTAGTTTAATCCAGTCCTTGATGTCTAAGTGATGTCCATGTCATGAATCAAGCACTGTAATTAAACTAAATTAGCAGTTTCAACAGAGAGGTCTGTGATTGAATGGACCATGGAGACTCCACTGTTTCCATGTGGAGATCAGGGGTGAGTCAGTTTATTAAGGTGTGCTGAAGAGTCTGTCACTGCATCTGCCAAACCTATTTGCAGCAAGAAGAGTTCAGTTTCCCGTTGTGTCTTGCTGACATCGTACCCCCAGAGTAGAGTCGCTAAGAACTAGCCACCCCTGAATCAAAAGGTCCTCCTTTTCCTTCTTCAAGGAGAAAATGCCCTCCAGGAACACACTGCACTTCTGTTTTCTCTGAGGGCTTTGATGAAGCCTTAATGTCCTTGGGAGGTGGGTGAGAATTACTGCCCCTGATTTACACTGCTACAAAGAGGCAGCCAGTGCAATCCTGACACGCTGTCCCCTGAGCTAATTACATTCCCTGCAGAAATGAGGACCAGGTAACTTTTGTTTCCCCAGAAGAATCTAATGGACTTTACAGGTCCTGTGAGTGTGGAGCGGGGAAGCTGCTTTCTGAAAGAGAGAGAAATATCAAGGCTACAGAAGAAAAATATCAAGGACCTGGCAGAGAGATGCAGTCCCCGGCATTTGACCCACAGTAATTCGGTCTTGAGTGCCTTTGTACTCAGTGGAATAAAACTTCTCATCTGACTTGCAAGGTCGTGCTGGCTTATGACTAAAAACAGGCTATTGTGTCCAACTTTTCCAGATGCTGCTTATTGCAGGTCTCTCAGTTTATTGATCACCTGTTTGGGGAGAGGGATTGCAAGGTGCTAGATGGATGTTACAGCTATGGCCAAAGGGAAAAGCTTTTGTGATTCTCAAAGCTGCAGGTTTGGCTTGTCTTGTGGGTAGGAAAATCTCAAGTGGGAGGAAGCAAGAGGCAGCAGGACAGTTTCTTGTTAGACACTTGTGAATAGAGGCAGTGGTGCAGGAGTGCTTAGTAGTTACCTTTCAAGTGCCTGTTCTGCACAAGGGGGTAAGTGATCTCAAAGTGGTGTTCTTTTTAAGCACCTTTTTATAAGGATCCCTCTCGGGATCTGAACTGTGGGTGTCCTTAGTTCACTTCTATAGCGTGTCTGTGCCTCTGACAAGCCTATGCTGCTGTAGGTTCAGCGTGCCCGAGAGATCCCAGCATAGCAGAGATGCCTGTGGGAAGTGGGCTGGCTCCGTGTTTGCTGACTTTCCTATTTGTTTCCTGTCCAGGTTTCAAGAGGCCCCTTTCCACGGGTGAGCGCATTCCCCGGATATGTATCGTGGGCAGCGGACCTGCTGGGTTTTACACTGCCCAGCACCTGCTGAAGGTACCTGGCTTTCATTCAACACAAAGGGATGCAGCTGCTTTGTGTCCTGGCATATATGGTTGTAACCATCCCAGAGCAGCCCACAGGATGATTCGTTTGGTGGTGGCACTCAGTTTGGCCTCCATAGGTAGCACTGGCCTGACCCCACCATATGTCCTGCCATAAGGAATATGCTAAAGTGGAGCTGTGTTGTGTACCTCTCTACCTCTTGTATTGCAATGTGTAGGCATCACTGCAGAGCCTGCTGTAACTTAGAGCAGCCCTTGGGCTGCTGTTAATAGTCAGGGCTATTTGCATCTCTATAGCAGGCCTTCCTATAGGGAATGTGCAGGGGTGGCCTACAGCCATCTCTGTTCCCCTTTCAGTGGTCTACATTCCCAGAGCATGTAGCACAGCATCTGCCTCCAGCTGTTTATGGACAAAGCAGGGGGGAATACTGTTTCTGTAATTAGATTCACCACACACATGCATCTCTTAAAGCTTGTGCTCCCAGTAAGGATTGTCAGCATACATCTGTTGTTAAAGGAAGCATGGTCATTTTACATGCTCTCCATTTTGGCTAAGTCAAACAAATAAATCTCCTGCTTCCCCCAAGATCACTGGGCATAACATGCTGAACTGTAGCCATTAATAAACTTCAGGGACAAATCTCAGGGCTACTTTTTATCTCTGCGCTGATGCAAACTGAAAGGCATGAACTAACTACTGTATTTACCCAAGTCCAAGATGACTTCAAATTTAAGACCCTTCTCCCTCCCAAATAATTAGATTATATACATGGCATATATTGGTATAAATTTATATATATACATGTGTCGCAGGGCACCTTGGTGCTCCTGCTCCTAGAGAGGAGAAACTGCCAGGGAGAGAGCCCTGGCAGAACATAATGAGCACAGCTGCGAGTTGCCAGGGCAACTAATAAGAATCAGCTGGCCAGAAGGGGGCAGGGCCTGGCCCTCCTAAAGCCCAGGGCTGAGGCCAGTCTGGCGGTTCTCTGCCAGCGGCCAGGGAGGCAGGAGCTCCTGGAGCTAGAATGCGAGCATTGCAAGAACTGCTCCAGCTGAGTGAAGGATGGCAGCTCTGAGAGGTTTGAGCACCATGGTTTAGCCAGGAGGCGACGTTGAGTTGAGTTATAGCCAGGAGGCTCGAGTTTGTTTGCTTCTGATATTACACCGGTGGTTTGGGTGAGGCTATAGGGGTTGGAGGAGGCCTCATAGGGACCCACAGGGGGTGGGGCCCTAGCGCCAGTGAGGGCGCAGTATTCTCAGGGGGAACCCCAGTGGTATGGGAAACCAGTGAAGGCGTAGTGCCAGTGAGGGCGCAACTTGCGGGGTGCGTAGACCCCAGCCCCAGAGAGGGGCAGCTTTGAGAAGCCCCAGCACAGGCACGACGAGCCCCAGGGAGGGGGCCATATTATTAGGAAGCCCAGTAGGGGCACAGCAAGCCCTAGAGAGGCGGCAATATTATTAGGAAGCCCAGTGCGGGCGCGGTGAGCCTCTGAAGAAGGGCTAGTGCTGCGACAAACCCCGGAGCAGGGTAGAGTGCTGCGGTTGCCCTGGCG